TGATGATTTTCGAATTTCAATCAATAATGTTTGATTTGTAAAGTTGTACGTCTATGTAACAAAACACACAACTTTAATTAAAGTAATATGGATACAACTAACGATGTCAAATAAAATAATTGTATGATCAATCACATATCGTATCAAAATGGACATAAATACAAAATTTTATAAAGTAATTAACATCAGTAAATGATTCATCGTCAAAACATTATGTTATATAACGTGTTAGTTGGATTTAAATTAGTAACATATGTATTTATTTATGATTTCATGTTAAAAATTAATGTAAATATGTATAGATTTCCAACATGACATATACAAATAATTTAAAAGTTTTGATTGGTTAATTTAATTGATTTGTCCCTTAAAAGTTTCATTGAGTGACACATAATTTTTTTTTACTTAGTGTCTCCTTAATTAATATATAGAGGATAATGTTTTGATTGAGTAACTGATTTGATCATTAAAACATTATGTTATATGACGTTTTAAATATCAAAATATTATATTTTAGTTAGATTTAAATTAGTAACATATGTATTTATTTATGAGTTTATGTTAAAAAAATTAATGTAAATATGTATAGATTTTTAATATAACATATAAAAATAGTTGAAAAGTTTTGATTGGTTAATTTAATTGATGTGTCCTTTAAAATATTTATTGAGTGACACATAAAATATTTTTTACTTAGTGTCTCTTCAACTAATATATAGAGGATAATGTGTTGATTGAGTAACTGATTTGATGATAGAGTAATGAATTTTTTTTTGTCAATATGTATTTAAGTATCTAGATAATAACTACATATCATGTCAAGGTTTAACATAAGTTTCAATACGTCTCTATCTACAAGGCTATATGGCCGAAAGCAATGTGAAACTTTTGTTTGTTCAACAAAAACTGCATTGATTAAACATTTAGTGGGCACAAGTTCATCTGAGCCAATGCTGCATCAGAATGGTTACATGAGAAAAAAGAAAGTCTTGTACTCGTGTTCCTTTCGCGAGACAATTCGCACACATTAATACATCGTGGAATCAAACGAACAAAAGAAAACAGAATTTTTTTTCCATAAAACTCTGAAGAGAAAACTGATCAATCTTTAATGGTGTCAAGCGTCTTGCAACAACTGTGAACAAACTGTCTCAAATATAACATTTATAACATTCTCAGGAATAACTTCTTTCATAGTCTAAATCAACGGTTCTAGTTCGGCGATTTCTAAAACTGGTCGACCTACATAGTTATTGTTTACATTTCTTTCCAACAAAATATTTTTACGAAG